TTCTTCCCAATTTTACTTCTTTAATTTTCCCTTCTAAAAAAGAAAACATTCCCAAAGACGGTCGGCATCAGGCAGTCGTCAGCTATAAAAGAACACAGCCAAAACTTTTTACAAAGTTACACATTGCGCTAAGTCAGTAAAATTGCAATGAAGGCAGGAAATGATTATGATTATATAAATACAAAAATGACAAGAAACTTTTAAAAGCCTAGGTTTCTTTACTGACATTTCAGTACACATTTCTTTGTTGACATGTTACTCTCTTGAACTAGCTAAATGCTGTAAAGAAAGTTTTATGTGTGATAGTTCATTTTCAACCTTTGTTTTATCTTTTATTGAAAAAATATTATTTATACTAACTACATATAATAGAGTTAATGGCTATTTAACACAGCCTACAGTCAGCGCGTACGCATTCATGAGATACAGTGTTAATGCATATTCATAACAGCTTACTACTGCTTAAGTTGTCAAATATTGATTAGTGTGAGTTTCATACTTTATTTACTTGTTAATGTTTTCCATTGTTAAGGTTAACAATTTTATTTCCTGTAGAAATATTACGTGTTATTCAAATATGTCTTTCCTAAGGATTAGAATTTCATTCCTTAGTTGTCTTCTATATGAGTATAACACACTTTCGTAATGATGACCTGAGAAACTGACTAAAAATCTTGACTACCACAAAAAAGGAAAAAAGCGTTTTTGATTCATTCCTTCCGATTCAATTCATTAAAAAATATCTGAATAAAATATTTAATAACACCCTGTTCAAAAAATCTTAATAATTACACTACAAAATATTTCGGGTACTGCAAGAACGACTGAATGGATCTAGATACAATTTGGTACAGATATAGTGATATGTTGATGATTGACTCGAGCGAAGTCGCGAGTATTTGTGTATATAAAATATTAAAAAGATTTCTTTAAAAATAAATAAAACTATTACTTCCGGCCGTACCTACAAAAAAATATCATTTCTAACGTGAATTTATATAAATTATGAATGTGCAATAAGACTGTAAGTTATGAATTATTTTTATACATATAATAAGAGTACAAAGTTTCACTTCATAAAAACAAAGAATACGGAACAGACTCATTATAATCTAGTTGTAACGATGCACTCACGAAAGGCATCTTACAATTGTCAAAAACTTTATGATTAATGATCTACGAATCTATTAATAACGATCTACGGACAATTGGCGCGCTGCGTGCGCGGTAATAATTCAATAACTTACAGTCTTATTGCATATTATACCTATAGCCAAATTTTAATTGGCTACATTTAATGTGTTGAACTAATGTTTCATTGACTCGTAAATAGTGTTAATTTTCTGAAATAGTTTTTTATTCTTTAGACGGGTTTTGGTGTTCTAGGAATCCCGGGAGTAAATGAGAAATTTTAACAAAAATAAAACACATTATGTAATTTGACAATTAAAGAAACATATCACATAAGCACTGAGTGACTACTGCGTTGCCATTGCATCATAGGGTCATAGCGTCGGTTAGCGACCAGTTAGCTGGGTTGCTCACTTCAGACAAGTAACAGAAAATGTTATCAATACGCAATATAGTATGTGTTAGTGAAAATTGGTGCCGTGTATAGTCTAATTTTGATATAAAACAAAATACGTTCATCCGTAAAATATTATAAAATGCTGAAAAAGTGCAAAAGTAACCAAAACGTCGGTTTGCAACCACTTTCATCAGTTTAGGACCAGTGAGCTAGTTTGCGACCACTATTTTAATATGATAAATACGTCAATACAATAATTTATAACTGATTTTAAAATGTTTTAATTTTGCCTTTTAGTAAAGTATAATTATGTAAATAATAAATTGTTAACAAAAATAATATGGTGATTTTTTGGTGGTGTTTTTCTCATATTTATTTATATTTTCTGAATAAATTAAATGTTTTTTGCGTTTTTTGGTTTCGATAGAAAGTTTCTGACTACCGACTTCCACGAAGATTTCAGTGATGCAAAAACTCGGTCCCGGTCTATTCGGGATCTTTGCAGAGATTCTTCGTACCATAGTTTCGCTATGGCGCAAAAGCCCCTCTTTAACCCGCTTTATGCCTTCTATACCAAGTACAGGATCTGATCCCCTTGAGTCGATAGTATCACATCTCTTTCCACTAAGCCAATCTTAAATACTAGGCCGAAGGATCTGATACAGTCTACCAATTTCTCTTATTCCCCTACATTCCAATTTCATTTAGTCTTATAGGTGCATCTTTCTTTATCTATGTGTCAAAATTTTTTAGACCATTATCTTAAAAAATAGTTTGTTGTCTACTTTTAATGGTGGCCTAATTTTAATGGTATAAACAAAAACTAATCCTCTTTAACATTTGTCAAATAAGGACTAAATTAATACTTGCTAAAATAATGATTAAACACGTTTAATTATACAACACACGTAAAATACACGTAATCGCACTCAACACATTATTAAATTAAACACTAAACAATTGCATCTTTGCACTTTTACAATGTGACACCCTAAATTGTGGAACAGGTCTTCTACAATTTAGAAACATGATGAACCAATTAACAATGAACCATTATGATCATACTAAGCAAACAAAATAATGCTGTGTTCGTCGGGTTGCAACCATGTGGTCGCATTCGTACATTTTTGACATACGAGTATTGTCACTTCGGTTACCGACCACCGAGTTTTATCTTAATATTATGCACGAACGTAGCAAAATATAACTAAATAATTACAAAAATTTAACGATTGCTCTAACTAAACACAGAACTTGGATGTAAAATATGAAATAAGTACTTAAACTTGCCATGGAGCGCCGCGCGCAGTAATATTATTGTTTTTAAATTATCAATAAACCACACCACTAAATCGTTTAGCATATTGTCAATTTCTTTTTCGGTGCTGGGATTAATCATTTATTTTAAACTATGTAAATTCTTACTTGGTTTTTGTTAATGTTACGTCTAGAAATACTATACTATATACCGCGTATAAATTTCGATAATTCGAAACGTCTAAAATGCACCAGTCACCAACAATACAGTGGATCTGGCGCTCGGTGGCCGCTGTCGCGGGCTGCTCGCTACGCTCGCTCACCTTCGCGCTTCAATGGTCACAGTTCTAACCTAACCCAAAGAATTCAATAACAGTAGATGGTACGCGACGCAGGTATAAGGAGAAGAATAAAACAGAAAAAATATATTAATACGCAAATATTAGAAACGTTTTTAAATTACATTATACATACTTATAGATTTTGAATATACATGTGTAACTAAATATACTAACTGAATCAGATTATACTAACTCAATCAGAATCCTAATTTTAGCAGTTTATACGAAGTATTGTAAATCAGAATATCGTTTTTCGGACCGAGAACCAAATTTACGACTTTCGGTAAAATATATTTTGTGAATTTTAATAATAGACAATATAATTCTTAAGTATTATGAAATTCGGATTTTTGAAAATCGGAACATCGAAATTCGAAATAAAATATTTCGGAGTATTTGGTTGTTCCCATTCTATTCTCTCTACTACTCGGATTTCGTGCGTAGACAGGCGGACAGCTAACGGCTTACAGTACAACGACAACTATACAATAGACAATTTTTACATTATATAATAATGTTCATTATTTTTAATCTGAGTGTTGCAAGTTAAAAACCCAGTGGTGTTCAACTCCTTTCCGTGGAGTATCGTTACATAAATAAGAATGACAAATGATTTCATTCGTTTGAGTTAATGTGCTTCTGGCACAAACATACTTGGTACTTTTAAGTTATATGCTGTTTTATATAGAAATTAAGAAAGATTTGGAAAGGAGATGTTATATAGTTAGGTTGATAAATTGATAAAGTGTAAGAACATGTTAGGTATTTATGTATACCTGACTAGACTTTAATTTTCGAGTACTGTTAAATAATTACTTGGAAAACGCGAAACTATCCATTCCTTTTATGGGAAACTATCCTATTCATTACTAAGTAGGTGTCAAAGGAGTTTAAAGATAAAATAATTTGTAATTTAAGTACTGATACTTGGCTTAAACAGAAAATAGCACGTTAAATCTACGGATAGTTCTAAAAATACACCTGAATTTAAAAAATAAAGAAAAGTTGACGCCAAAGTTCAACCAAGTAATTTCTTCCAGTACTCTGATTGCTGAGCTTCTATTGACTTAAAAATATTACTAATAAAGAAAGAAGACGAATAATAAAGAGCACAAATATGCCACAAAATTGCATTGGAATTTTGCCTTTAAAACTATTTTTTTCCTCATACTAATATATCTAATTATTATACAGTTCAAATTCCTTTAATTTTGTTGCATGTCTTGTGCACTTTATTATTTGTCTTCTTTCTTTATTAGTAATATTTTAAGTAGTCAAGTCATCGTGTTTGTTCTGTACTTAAGGAGTTGTGCAAATTTCTGACATTACCGATGATACTCATGCTTACAGACACACGGAAGTATTTTGCAATCGTTTCTTAACATTATGATGTAACATTCGCCATACACTTTACCGTATGTTACGATAACCCAAATATTTTTCGCTAAATTTATGTATGCATGTAGCTAATGTTTGAGCCTCAGATCAAATAAAAAATACTATTAATATTATTTCTTTTGAAGTTTGAGCGTGATCAAGTGACTTTAGGTTTAGGTGATACAAGAATCGGGCGAATTGCAATCGAGTTTTTCTATGAGGAAATCTCCAACGTTTGGTGAACGGTAACACGCTGTTCTATTATATAATTATAGAAACCCAAAATTTTGTCGCAATAGTACAGGTGACCACCTACTTCAAGAAAAGTACTACTTCACTTATTTAGAAATATATTAGTATTAACTAATAAGTGAAACAGTACTTCACCTTTTTAGGCGGTCCTACAGTATATAAAAGTGTAACCGTAGTATAAAAATAAATTATCCCAATCAAAAAGGATTTATTTAATACAAGGTTTTTGCCCGTTCAGTGACAAGATGAGCTCAGAAGTAAACGAATGGTATAAGGGCCGAAAGGTTTTCGTGACCGGCGCCCTGGGACTGATGGGGAAGGTGTTGATCGAGAAACTGCTATACAGCGTACCTGACGTGGACTGCGTATACGCATTAGTACGGTCAAAACGCGGCAAGAATCCGGAAACACGCATTGAAGACATGTGGAAACTACCTGTGAGTAATCTGAGTCAAAAAGTATAAGGATTTAATAAAGAATACCAAATTACCACATAAGAAAACTTACGCGATGGTGTTCTTTTTACGAGTTTTTGAAAAACAAGATAAACTAAAACAAATATGGCACTCCCTGCTATTGCTTTGCCTTAGGAAATCGATTCGATCAATAAACTTTTACTTAGTTGATCAAAATTATTTGCTGAGTTAAACACGTCTTGCGGTAAACACAGAACAGTGAATAAACATCTGTTCTGTGGTGGTAAGAAACTTAAACTTGAGAACATGAGTAAAACACGTTATAACTTTTTTTAACTTCAGTTACAATGAATTTTCAGAAATTTGGCGATTTGTCATTGACATTATGATGTACTCTTAGTATTTACATTTCTTAGATAGTGTATCTACTTTATTCCAGTTGTTCAATAGAATAAGGGAAGAGAAGCCTCATGTCATGAAGAAACTGATCCCGGTCATCGGAGATATAATGTATGATGATCTCGGTATTGAAAAACCTCAATTGGAAAAGCTGTATAATGAGGTAAGTAAACCAAGAGTGTTATTATATATGTATGTAGATAAACGAGTTTTATAACTCAAGCTTTGAGCCTACCCAATATACCTACATATTACCCAACAAACTACATGGTCCGTGTGGTGACGGATTAAGAATACAGAGTGTCACCACCCCTATTCATCCCGTGGGTGTCGTATGAGCCGACTAAGGGAAAAAACTACGCAGAACAACAGCACTGCAGAGAGAAGGAAAACTTGACACAAACCCTATACCAACCCGTCTGGCCAGCGTGGTATAGTAGGCCAAAACCTCCTTTTTAAGGAGGCTTATGTCCAGCAGTGGACTATTAAAGGCTGTTGATGATGATGAAACTACCCGCAAAGTCAAGTATTTTCGAAAATACTCAGAATTATTCAACACAGGTGATCAATAGCTGTTTTATAGACGGAAATGTACTGTAATAGAGTTTACTAATATATTTTTTGTTGTACTCTTAAACTGAAATTTACATTTTATTTTACAATTGAAAAGGACACTATTAACAGAACTATAGTAAGTTTTTATGTGTAAATAAACCAAGAACTTAATTTTCACGGAACTCGTACCAACCGCGACCATTGCAGTAAAGTGCACTACAGCACACCTTTATTGTGTATAAAAAATAAATAATTTCACATTATTTATTTTGGAATCTTTTGTTTATCATAATGAAATCAAACTCACTTTATACATTACACTATTTAATTTAATTTGACCAGACCGGTTTCGCTTTATGGTAGTATCAAGTGAATTTGATTTCATAATGTATTGCAACAAGTTCCAAGTGCCGACAATGAAGTGTATAAACCATAATTTTATTTATCATTTGAATGTACGGTATCAAATACATTGTCAGCGGAAAGTGAAAGCTTAAAAGCTTAAAGTTATGGAAAGGAAAGCGCTAAAATCTGTATGATTCTCTCACACTGGTGAAACCTTGCCCTCGCCGCTATAAGGTTGCGTGCTACCGACTGTTATACATCGTATGTAACTCGTTGTGTTCCTTAGCAAAGAAGTTATTGAAGTCAGATACTTCCACATTTAAAATTGCATACTTTCATTTTTTCCCTTTTTCCAAACAGACAATTAGTGCCGCTTGTGGTAGGCTGAGCCTCCCTGATCGAGTTAGTCTTTTTTACTACTACATAAACAAACTCAAAAAGCGTATCTAAACAGGTTCTTAGAATTATTTTTTAATGTACTAATTTGTAAGTTACAGATTTTTTTTATTTTGGTGTCACTATTAATTAATATTTATAATACAATGGACAAATTATTATACTTGTAAATTGAAACAAAATCTAATTTAGACCCCTATGAGTCAGCATTTCTAGTGGGTATATCTAAACCTTCTATGTTATATTATACATGCATACAAATACAAAAGTGACTCTGTATGTTACGCTTTCACGGCTAGCCCGCTGAAATGATTTTAATGAAACTTTTTATGGAGATACTTTGATTCTCGAATAAGAACATAGGCTACTTTTTACCGCGATAACTGTTATACACACAGGCTGAGCCGCGAGCAAAAGCTAGTTATCAATAATCGTCTTAGACCTTGGATTTTCTCACATCGTGACGCAATAAGTTATTCAGTTGATGGATATACGCGTCACCATAACTGTTGGCACGATACAACAATTAACTAAATAAACAAAATGCATAACGACTTGCTAAAGCAAGTCGTTATGCGTTTGCAAATATTCAATTGCTGAGTCGTAAACGACTCAGCAATTGAATATTTATATCATAGCGAAATGAGATGTTGCAAATAATCTTTGATTGCCTGTTTTAATTTAGATACTTCTATGGCGACCCTGTTGAGCTTACAAAATTCATGGGGTGTAGTACAATACAGAAGACATATCTATCTTTATATATCCAATTCTTCTGTGCGTGTGCATCTGACTGAACTTCTCCTAAACGGCTGGACCGATGTTGCTATAAAAAAATTGTGCGTTCAAGTGTTTAGATTAGATTAGGTGGACTAGTTTTGATTCACAATTCGGTCATTACAAAATTGTTTTTGGTTTAAGACATGTGAATAGGACAACGTCTGTCGGGTCCGCTAGTAAAGTGAAAATATTTGTAAAATATACATTATATTACAAATATTTTCACTATCATCATCAACAGCCTACCAGCCTAAGGTTTTGGCCTACTATCCCACGCTGGCTGGCTTGGTATAGCATTTGTGTCAAGTTTTCCTTCCGAAAGACAAATATTTTAAATATTTTTTAAATAAAATGGCAAAAAAACCATATTAAAACTTTGTTGTTAATTGATCAATTGCTTTAAGTATTAATCCATTCCAACATTATTTTATATTAAGAATCACTATACAAGATAAAAAGGCCTACACCGACAAATAAGTGGGCTCGGTAAATAATAATTATCTAGCAAAGCCGAGATTTATTATTAACAAACCAAGAATAGCTTATACCTATATAAGTTAATGACTGTAATAGACTTCTAAAACTGTATTTAATATGGGTAATATGCGTTCAACGATGCTTGACCACGGCTGACGGAGAAAGCGTTTAACCCGTTTACACATACCGATCAAACAAGTTGTGTAACCATCAAGTTGTTTATTTTCTTAAAGTATTGGCACCATCTTAAGTGCATTTGCGGGGGAGCAGTTACAGCTAATATAAATAAATATAAACCTTTATGTTATATTGGTAAAACTGACAATACTACTACTATAGTTTCCGCGCTATACTATCTACAATTCAGACCTCATTAACCCTTAATTCTACTTGTAGATATATAATGCACACTATTCATAATTCTTTATAATAAACATTTTTATAATGTTACATTCAAGGTTTCGATAATCTTCCATTTCGCGGCTACTCTCCGACTGGAGGCGCCTCTTAAGGAAGGATTGGAGATGAACACGAAGGGCACAATCAGGGTGCTTGAAATGGCCAAGAAAATGAAGAATCTCGTTTCGTTCATTCATCTCTCTACGGCGTTTTGTTACCCCGACTATGAAAGGATGGCAGAAAAGGTGTGTCACACAATAATGATTTATTTGCTAAACTATAAGCAGGTTTATCACTATTACATTATTACTGTGTCAACTAGGTGTTCGATCCTCCGGCCGATCCGCACGAGGTGCTGCGTGCAGCTAGCTGGTTAACTGATGAACAACTGAATCTCCTGGCGCCCGCAATATATCAAAAGCATCCCAACTCTTACACATACTCCAAACGACTAGCAGAAGCACTTGTTAAAGAAAGTTATCCACAACTGCCCACGGTTGTCGTTCGGCCTAGTATAGGTAAAGCAGACGTTTTTAAAATTAATATTCTTTTTATTAAATTATATATACATATTGATGACATTTACAAATATATTACAAAAGAAAAAAAAAACATTTAAAAATATAAAAATAGTAGACCACTGACACACACACCACATATCGACACTCGCGTGATATAAATCCAACTATGTTATCTGTTTTTCTTTATTAACTTACACGAGATGCTCGTCATGAGGAACGGCGATATCAACAATCATTGCGCAACGCTCTAATCGATCTATCACTACAATATCAGTGCCCCGAGCACGAAAAAATGTCGAATGCGTATCGTAAACGTATCGAGTCTTCGATACGTTTACGGAGTTTTACGATAGGCGGTAGCACGAAGCACTAACGTTAAGGTATCGAGAGCTCGATACGATTACGTTAGTGACGTCATCCTAACGTAAATAAGGATGTGCACTTAAGAACGAATTCAACATCTTATTGAATGAACTATGCGTTCGAAAACATAATGAAATAGTGATTTTTTTATTACTTTCGGTTAAACTAACTATTTATTGACAATTAAAACAAAATTTACTTATATAAACACATAATAAATCTTAAATTAGGTATGGGAGATTTTAAAATGTAGTATATTTCCGAGAATTAAAATAATTATTATGACATTTTTTTCGGTTTCTGAATAACACGTCTCCACTTGACAATTTATTGCCATGGCTACGACGCTTTGTCAATAAAATGTTTATTATTTTTATTGTAAATTCATCACCAAGTTTAAGATTATTTGTAAACCTTTGAAACTTTAAGAAGCATTTTATAGAAAATATTATGTATTATTACGTCGTGTTGGCTGTCGATTGTGACCAAAAGTCAAGCTTCCTATAGCTAAGTCGTATACCACTAGATCGTTGTGTTATGTGAAAAGAAATTGCTAAAAATTTCTTTAAAATAAACCACAGTAAGTAAGTCGTGCCACAGTAAATCGAACTGTTGAATAGCACAGACGAAAACGTGTTTCATCATCTTCTGCGCCAAAAATCCCAACATCATACAAGACAAAGTGAGAACAAGCCATTTACAATACGTAGCTATGGTGGAATTCTGGAAAGGTGAGTGTATATTAAATGTACTATTTGCAATATTGAATGTACTTTAATGTAAAATAAAGATGTGATGTTTGAGAATATGATACATTTCTGACGTTATTGCTTATAATTCAATTTCTCGTTGTTATGAGACTTACACTGCTACTTGACATTAAAATAAAGTTTTAATTGTAAATATAGATAACATCTGTCACTTTATAAATGTTACTTGAACACCACCACATCAATTCTACAGATAAACATACCAGGGACTACTAATGTCTCATATCAGTCAATCTAGGTTTCATAGTACAAGTTCTGCTTAGTTTGAAACTAGGTGGTGTTGTGTGTCAGATGTCTGAAAATATTATATTCGTTATTATATAAGTAATAAATGTTGCAATATTTTATTGTAGATTGGAATACTGCGGGCTTAAGCAGCCAACCAACTGTGGCTCCTCCTTTACCAGCATCTGAGGTTCATTCTCAGTCTTCTCCAGTCACCGCAGTGGCGAGGAGTGGAAGTCTCCTGAAGAAAAATAAACTCAAAACAAGCAATGATATTTTAACCGTTAATAGAATCGTAATTGTGTAAAATAAAATTAAAATTATTAACTAGACATATAACTTTTTCAAAGTAAATAATGTTCTCTGTAAATAACATGTACATTGTACATGTGTATGTAATGTATAAAAACCAACTGTGTATAATTTATTTTAAAATTATGGTAAATAAAAAATATTCATACTAGCTCATTTTTTACTATATACCTTTCATCCCTGTCTGCTGGGTAACCCCCTCTATCTAACCTAATTTGGTACGAGCCTAGCAATGCGCTTTGGATATTTGTTCAAGAAAAAACCTTACTGAGCAATCCAAGGTCATTAAACAGGTTATAGAGGGAGTTAGCTCTTATACCCCTCGCCCCCACTTCCACAGCATATAACGCAACGAAATAACCATTTTTAGTTATTTCGTTGGTTAAGTCAAACTACTTCTTAGCTTAAAGCGATATATTTCGAAATTCGTTGTCATTTAAATTTAAAGGACTAGCTGGTACCCGAAACATCGTTTGCGTAGAATTTGAAAAGCGCTGCCTTAGTGGGTTCGATTCCCGGACCGGGCAATTTTTTTTAGCCTAAATTGCTCCTTATATAGACAGCTACCGCCGTTTGCCATTTTGAAGATTACCCGAACCCAGAAAATAGTTAGACTGGTTGTTAGGCATAGGTATCTTGCAAAAAACCGTGTGAGCATGAAAAAACCTATTATTTTATATTACAAACAGACTGATTTTTCTTTACTTTAATCTTTCTTTGTTTTTCTCTTCGCCTCATTTCACTAAAAAATAATTAATTAGATTAATAGATTTATAGGTACATACTAAGTATACTACATTTTATTAATATAGTAGAAGTTTCTTCAAATGTTTCTGACAAATATTTAGTTTACACTTTATAGATAAAACAAGATTTGCTCACCTCGAATCTAGTTGTTGAATACCTTTATTTTCAATTAAACTTGCGACAAGAACATACATAGGACTAAAGCGGCGGTCTTTGCATTTTATCTCTATAAAAAATAACCGTTAATACTTGAAAATAATAGTTTTAAAAGAAATTGATTGTTTCGAAACTTTTCTCACGGCTAAATCTTAGGTGAATAAACATTCGACTAAGTTTGACAGGTGCTCGATAGTCAGCCTTCGAACGTACGTCAACATTTCATTCGTGCTGCCAATTTTGTTTATAAAGTGTAACGTATCGAATGCTTGACGATACGTTGACGATACGAAAGTAAATTCGAAACGTTCGTGCTGCCAAAATTAGTTACCTTTACGCACGATAGGGGCGCTGCACAAATGTCATACAAATTTTGTCGAAGACGATACGAATACTTTTTCGCAAGTTGTTCGTGCTCGGGGCACTGGCTTATTGGCAACAATAGTCCTGTATGTGATAATAAATCGATCCCAATACAACGAGGCCCGACCATTCTCAAGAACTGGGTCGGGCACATACCTGTAGTATGGCACCTCTAGATTTACAACTTGGTATTTAAGGGCAAGCTGTTGGTGTACGATCCTGTCTACTTGGTTGTGCCTGTGCAAATATTCACCGTTAGCGAGACGAGAACAATCAGAAATAATATACCTAATTGATTCCCCAGGTCAGTGGCATGCCCGACAGATGTCAACCGCACCATCTTTCAGGATATCTTCGTATTAGGATATCTTCGGATAGATATTCGTCCATAATCGCACAAACAAACCCATCAGTTTCGCCGAAGAGATCACCATAACGTAGCCAAGTCGTAAATGCTTTTAAGTCTATATCGGACCCGTTTAGGGTCCGAATAAAGCGACCATGGAGCTCTTTGCCCTTCCATACTTCCCTGCGATCATTAGTACTAAGTACTACAGGTTTGCGCCAATTCTCTTTAGCCAGAGCGAGTGGAGTGAATCCGGTATCCACTGCAACTACATTGCGATGCACCCCCACTCCTCATCAGAATGTAGAAAATATTCTCTGAGATTGCATATTTCGCGACTGTGTAGGGTTTTGATATTTAATATTCCGCGACCCATAACCGATGAACGTGGGTGGAGCATTCGGAATGCAGTCAGCAGTGTACGGGCTCTCCTTTCAAGGGCATCTAATTCGGCCTGAGTCCATCTAAGTATACTAAAGGAATACATCAGAACCGACATGACCCAACCATTGCAGGCTCGCACCTTGTTGCCCTCTGATAAAAGACTTTTAAGTACTTTTTGCAGGCGGCCAAAAGCGTGTTCATTCAACGTTTGTTTAATGTCAGATTCTGGTATTCACAACGACTGTGATGCATATACCCAGATACTTGTAAGTTTCAGTGGCAGAAAGAGATCTCAGTTTTGTTGAATCTGAAAGCTCTGTTTATTCAGATTCTACTATCACGCCCTTCTTGACATACATTACTGCACACTTGTCTACACCAAATTCCATTTTAATAGAATTACTAAAGTTTTCCGTCACCTTTAATAATGCTGTCAATTGTAATTTAGTTGGGGCTAGTAATTTCAAATCATCCATATAAAGAAGGTGAAATATAACTTGATCATCTGTCTGCAACCTATAGCGTAACCCCGAACCCTCTAATAGGGTTCAAAGCCAGACAAAACCACAAGGGACTTAAACTTTCACCTTGAAATATACCCCGCTCGATCTTTATTAGTACATCGTTTACCGCAGTCTGCCGACATCCTGGATAGCGAAGTGCTGTTCTCCATTGCCCCATACAAAACTCCAAGAAAGGGCACAGAGTTGTATCAATTTTATACAACTCCAGCACCCTTAACAGACATGTGTGTGGAACCGAGTCATACGCTTTCTTACAGTCTATCCAACATGTCGCCAGACTCTTACGATTACGACGCACCTGTTGGTAAATAGTCATGTCTACGATAGGGTACTCTTTAGTGCCACGGAACCCACTTCTACATCTATTCAGAGAAACTGACTTAATCCAATCATTATTTTTTAATATTAAATGTTTTATATTTATTATTATTATTATTATTCATCTTAACCTACACATAGGTCAGTACGAAAATACCCAGCTTTATAATAGTTTTAATTTTTCATTTGAACTAAAAACCAAGAAGAACCTAAGAAATCCAAGATGGCAATACATTGAAGTATGTGTTTCTATTATTTATGTTTATTATAAGGGTTTCTGTTATATTGATGAAAACCATCAGGCATAATGGTATTCACGTTAGTAAAGAATAAGTGCCATGATTGCCTAGATATGAACCCAGGAGTGGGGGAAGGATTTTTTATAAACTTCCCTATTTAAAAAATTCACGAAAAACACCAAAATTTCGGCCTCTTAAACCGGTTTCCCCCTTAAGTGTAATATAGAGGTTGTAAAAGTTCACAACTACTCGTATATATATAAAAGTAGATTCAAAATATAATTTATGTTTAAATACCATATGGGATCTTTCCCTACCTTTAATTATAACTTAATTCGATTTACAGCTTAAACACCCGAATTAAACCTTTGATTACATTACATAAAACATTGTAGGGGTAACTTTAACATCGAACAAGTACATAACCAATGATATATTAAGGAAGATACGTTATATTCATACTGCACGCATAAACTTTTTATTCCGTAACACTATACTATACATCTATTACTGCGTTTTAGAACAAAACATACACTTACCTGTGGTATGATATTCCTTTATCTTTATTTACCTTTTTTTCATCATTTGCGGTATGAACAGGAATTATGAATTTTCTATTTTCTCGAATTAATTAGTACGTGCATTCGTTCGATTAGGACCAATTCACAGCACTCGTTATGTGCGTTGGTGGCGTATCTACCTCTTGTTTGTATATAATATCATTGTACATAACGACATCTACCGTTATGAGCAAAGTAATGAAACACCCGTACTAATATATTGTACCGAACACAACTACTAGTACTGTTTTTATTATGATTTCCTTTACTTGAACATAAATGTTTGACTATTAGTATTGACATTAAAAGAAGAAATAATCAATGTTTTAACTAATATTGTAGTAACCCCATCGCTTAAGGACCCTATGCCGGGGTGGGTGGACAACTTGAATGGGCCTGTAGGTCTGATGGTCGGAGCTGGGAAAGGAGTCATACGCTCAATGCACTGCTATGGACATTACCATGCCGAAGTGATACCTGTGGATATGGCTATTAACAGCATCGTCGTCATCGCCTACCAAACTGGGAGAGAAACGAAGAGGTAAATGCTCAATATTTTCTAGAAAAAAACGAACTTTGTAACATATTGATATCTTTGTTAGCTAATTCGGTCATATTTTTGCAAGTTTTTTCTTTTATTACGGAGCCTGATATAACCAAAACAAAAAAAGCACTCCATTTTTAAAGTTTCAGGTCGCCGAAAGGAAATCTTGCATTTAAAGTAAACCTCTTCCAAAAACTTTCAGAATAAGTGGCTTCGCTTTTAAAATATATTTGCCTACAACTTAATTATTTATTCATTAATTCCTCTATCTATTATCTCACGGGGAGTAACGGTAAGGTGATATGTACGACTCGAGCATTACAAAATGACATGAGTTTTATTGTCAGTGCGAGTACGATGTAGGAAGAAAGTTCTTGTGAACCCACCCATAAGTTAGTTAAACTAGGTATGTGTTAAAACATAACATTATTTAATGTTGTATACATTGCCTTTAATAACTTTTACATAGATTTAGTTACAATAAAGATTAGTTATGAAAAATTTCAAATGAAATAACCACAATTTGTAACCGTCGTTTAGAAAAAAGGAAACATTTTTTTATTATAATCGGTCCATATTCATTTAGTTACAAGTATGACATTAAAGTCTTACCATAATTTTAATAACACATTTCTGATGCATATTTTACTGAATTTTTGAAACAATAACAACCACAGTATTAAAGGTATTAAATAATCAACAAACACTTACTACAAGCATTCCATATTAGAAGACGTCAGATATGTTTTTTGAATAAGAATTTATTATCCTAAATGAATGAATCCAAATGAAAAGGAAACATTAAAGTGCAATTAATAGTAAAAGAGAAATGGGAATACTAAATCAGCATCCACCACTTTTTAATAATATTGTTCTTATGATTTCTAGGCAATCAGAAATCCCGGTATATAATATAACGACAGGCGACGACAAGAACACGACGTGGAAGCAAGTGTTAGACATAGGCAAGGCGTCCGTTCGAAAGTTTCCATTCGAAGGACCTCTATGGTACCCTGACGGCAATATTCGACACAACAAATTCATTCACGATCTCTGCGTGTTCTTCTATCACATAGTGCCGGCTTACTTTATTGATTTTTTGTTGTTTTTATTCAGGCAAAAACGATTGTGAGTATGAATTTTGGTACAAGTTATTTTTACACTTCATTATTTACTGTTTTAATTGTTTTGGTATGTTAAAGTTATACTAGGAAATCATTTGTAATTCAACTGCTGAAAAGGTTAAAGGTAAAACAAATGCTTTAATCGGGTGTATTTTTGGTTGTTTTAATAATGCAACACATCCTTTACTGACGAAAATATAACAGCCTACACATACTTTCATATATATTTTCCTAATTTTTAATTGTCCTAAGTACCTAAGACATGAATGTAGTTTTAGCTCAGTTGCCTATTAAGTACCTATGTACCCCATTTATTACTCATATACTGTAATTTTTTACTTTGAGTTACATTAATTCAGTCCTTAAATTTTCACTCTTAACCCAGCTAATTGTGGTAGTTTTTCTTTCAATTTTAATGGGACCAAACGGGAAGTAGGTATGCATAAAAAGAATCCATAAGATTGTCCTCGTTTGTGAATTAGGTTAAAATAATGCAACGTTCCCCTTTCCAGCATGGTGCGTATCCAAAACAGAATTTCAGTTGGTCTGGAAGTACTTCAATATTTCACAACGCGCGAGTGGTGGTTCGACACGAATAACTTTAAATCCTTAGTGCGTATACTGAACCCCGTGGACCAGGAACTTTTCCCTATGGACCTCACTGTCATACAAGATGAGCCTTATATTGAAAGCTGTATGATCGGTGCCAAATTGTACTGCCTCAAGGAGAAATTAGAAAACTTGCCAAAAGCAAGGCTTCAAAATAAAATGTAAGTGATAATTGCTAAATTTCGAAAACCTAGTCCGTAGAGAGAACAGTATAACTTGAAGTGTCGTTATAATGACTTACGTACAACGACAGGTCAACACAGTTGTTAGAAGCTTTTACCTTTAAGTCCAAATTACACGTACAATTCTTTTGAAAGGTTTCTATATAGAATTTTCTTTACTTTAGTTTTTTCTTAATATAAAATATCATGTATTTTCCAATAGTTGCCGTGTGGTCAAACCAAAAATTGACTAACTTTTACCACCATCTAGGTTGGTAAAGGTTTGAAAAGAATGACATATAAACATTCTTCAACATCTTACGTTTTAATGGCTAACCCTAAGATTTGCCGCAATTCGGGCTTGTACGGTACCATAATCATGAGATAACAATTTATATGCTAATAATTTTAACCTTTTCAGCTTATACGTTTTGGATCGACTCGTGTCTTTATTCTTTTATCTATTATTGGTATACTGGATTGTAAGCTACTTCGAGCCAGCGAGAGAACTGCTTTCATACGGGGGGCCGGTGGTCAGATACTTGCCGCTTGTGGGCAAGGCTGTCTTCAAAGATGAAGCTATGTGAATGCTCATAAGTTAAGGTTCATATAAGCGATCTTGTCGTAGAATAATACGTTTATAATTAATAATACAAAAAAATATGAAATTTATGTTTTTGTGTTTTGTAAATAATTTAGTGTACATGTAACTATATATTTTTATATATAGTATATCTATATAAGTATGTATTTATCCCATCAAAAACATAAATGTGAAATGAGAGCCAAGTTGACAACGACGTATAAGAATATACGTCGTTGTCAACTTCGCCGACAAAAGAATTGCGATCTATATGGGCGCCAATTTCTATGTAAATCTTAATACTTTAGTTATAAGAACACACAACATTCTAAAATAAATTTATAAAACAATTAGTTGGGTTTTTGGGAACCACCAGAATATTTTCCACGTATTAGGTAATGTACTTATATTCTATAATTTTGGAATGTAATTCAAGCTCAAAATCTGACTTGGTTAGTTTTCACGTATAGGCTAAATTATATTTGTCTAATGAACTTATCTTCGTTAGGTCATACGCAAGTTAGTGTACTTCCTGTTTGTCCTGTACTTATACTGTTAGGTTGATATAATACCTATGTAACTTTTCTTAAATTTGGTTTGTTCGTGAATCAAGGGGTCAGAAGTAGCTTGAAATGGTTCGTGTAATATTACACACTTGCTTCGTCGCCAGTTCCATCGCTTTGAACTTCGCTAGACACGCTACCGCGTGCCTGGATGTTAAAAAGGTGAAATTAAAGTTTGCCTTAATCATGACATTTAATGATTTAACAACTTTTTATACATACACACAAAAAATTAGGTTAGGCTTTTTTTGTTTAACTTTTCCTAGGTTAGTAATGAATAACTGAAATAATGTGTAAGTTTCCCACCTGTACACTCCAGATTGCTGGAGTATATACTAAGAGTTGCCCCATGGCTAGCGTCTTATCAGTAACAAGAACAATTCAATAAATAAATAAATCAACAACTTTGCAGCACTTAAGTTGTGAGAATAGTATTAATAATTTTGTAACAGTTTTATTTTTATCTATAAAATGTATTGCTATTGTTAATATTATTAATGTATTTTCTTTATCAATACCAAATATACTTTTTTCACTCAACTACTCTATCTATATTTTATTTATACTCGTAAGAATCTCTATTTTTGTTAATGTGGGTAACAAATCAGCCATAGTACGAAGTCATAGTTAATAGTACACGTAGTCATAGCATAGTCACAGTGACCTACTTCCTAACGGTCAATGGTTACAAGTAAGGAATGCAGCACAATACATATCGGTCCTTTTTGTCCCAACCTCAACACTTGAACGGACAGTTATAATTTGTAAGATTTTTTTTACTTTATAATCATTATAGATTTGTACCTTTAATACTTACGTAGGTACCTGTTGTCACCTTGTACTCATCAACAGCCTTTACTAGTCCACTGCTGGAGATAGTCCTCTCCTTAGAAAGGAGGTTTTGGCCTACTACACCACACTGGCCAGGCGGGTTGGTATAGGGTTTGTGTCAAGGAGGACGACCTCCACTCGGACCCGATCCGCCGCCAGCGAACCGGGCGGCGGAGGCGCGCTTACCTGCGCCTCATGCCGCCCTGAGAGTGGCCGCGGGTGGACGGGATGGGTTCTCCCCTTCACCCGCATTAGTTTGGCCAGCCGCGAGGGGGCGGCGTCCGCGTGTGCCGGACGTCGCCTAAAGAGAGGAAAAATTTTGAGACGGAGCCCGCAAGAGGAGCGGGCCGGCGCTAGGAGGGGTCCGGATGTCTTAATAACGGCTGTTCCCGGATCCCTCCTATTACAGGCGCAGAGTGGCACACCGTGTGGTTTTAGTCGGTTCGAGTCCGACACACCACCCCGCCGCAAACCCCGGTGGGGTGACGGTCCGAGGGGATTTCCACACGTTAAAAAAAAAAAAAAGGGTTTGTGTCAAGTTTTCCTTCTCTCTAAAGTGCTGTTGTCCTGCGTGGTTTGCTCCCTTTGATATGTTTTCCCCCTAATATGTTGAATGATACTGAAATGTTATCTTTTAATACTCCGCCTACCACTTCACAGACAATAGGACTGTAAATACCTACATATGACATAACAAATGATAAAGATGACGAAGTTATGTTTGATTAAAAAAACACGACTGAAGGTATACGAAGACAGATTTAATTTTGCAAAGAAAAATTCATTAATTACCGTTTCGATTCACCGTTTCTGTCATCAATGTCTGCAGGAACCTCGTGTTCGCAAATAAAAAAAGCTTTCTTGTCACATTCAATATCATTTAAATGTCCGTTGTAAAACATGGAGCCGCATCGCTCGTCTACGCCACGTTGTACCCCATCGGGTTGACCGTTAGCCCAGGTTGTGTAGCCGCTGTCTTCGAGTAATGATCCTGAAATATTTTTTACAATGGTGAGTATAGAAAAATAAATCTCTCATGAATTTAAGAAAGTTTGTATGTAATTAATTGTAAATACTGTCAATACTAATACCTGGGGATTAAAACGGGTAGTAAAATTATTTTTTCTTACCAAAATATAGGTTCTGTTTCACTTTCAAAATTAAAACTGAAATATCTGTCTTCCAGATTGTTAATAGGATAAGTCCACATAGAGTCTAGATCTTGTGAACTTAATCAAGTATATCATAAAAACGGAGATATAAATTATTTAAGTATTGTTTAAGTAAAAAGTAAATTCTAGAAGTATTTTGTGTCTAGTATTTCAAATACTATTGACAAAAGTATCTTATATGTGATATCTCTAATGCTTATTTTATAGTACTTTGTGTACTTAAACATCTCTGCGTAAAAAAACAATATTTCAGAAGGGCGACGGGCTAAAAGTAATTACTGATCATAGTTACAAAAACAAAGAAAACAAGTGGAAACATGAAATGAACAGTCAACCTACCTCTTACGGTTTCCCATCCCTCGTCTTGCCTGTTATGAAATCCTAGAAGAACAATTCCAGACTGAAAATCTTTATTGACCGTATACTTTGGTGCGAGTGTTGTTAAAGCAACCAGGTGTTCAGCTTCTGCCTGAGAATTGATGACCGCCAAGTAAGACTGTTCAGCATTACACACAGCGTGTGCCTCAGGCCAGTTATATGGTTTCGAGTGAAACTTGTAGCATCTGCTCTGTTCTTTGTTGAATTTATAATCTGAGAAAAAACTTATTTTAAGTAGTGTTCATTACTGGTAGTGAAACTGGAAAAATATTTTGAAATTGATGGTGTTCAATGGAAGTGTGATTTAAATGGCAAAAAAATAAAATAACTGCTGCTCCGGTTACAAAATTTACAATTATACTGGGGTTTGTCAATGCGAAAGATTAACTGGCATTGTAACAACCAGCTTTTCTTAATTTATATTTTCTGTAACTTAATGATATCTCACAAATGGCCGTCCGAACCTTAATTGGGCAGAGCTTCTGCTAAGGTAACAAGACTGCTGAAAATATAATACACAGACCCAGAAGAAAAAGAAAAGTGCACGACTTCAGACTTAGCAGTCAGGATATCTAAACACTAGACCAACAGGCCAATCAAATGCATAACTAAATTTAAACATTTTATACCTAAATTGGCCATGTTACACTCCTGGTTCCACTGCACCGTAGCGAGACTCTTCTTACAGATGAATGGGAACTTGTGGAAGCACGGGTAGTCGTGTAATTTCCCATGTTTTTTTAATACGACGCAATCTTCATTGTCGTTGCCATTGTTCGGCTCACCGCCATCCCATTTGTCAAATACGTCTCCTATTGGTAGACCTGAAAATAAATAAATTCTACTTTGATTAAATTTTACGCCAATGAACACCATTCTTATAATTTTTTAATGCGTTTGCGTTGTATATCGTTTACAGGTTCCCCGACACTACTACGTCATGGATACAAATCGGCATGTAGTTAAAAATCAATAAACAGTTCGAGAAAATATTATTGCTTTGAATGCGTGTCCGGAATTAATTATATTAACAAAAACGAGGCGTGGAGACGAAATAATCTTCTCGAAAGGCTTCTTGGAGTTGATTTTAACATTGCATTCTTGCTAGCGATATCTTCAATATTTGTTTTGCGTGTATAGTAAGAATTTTAGGCATCCTACAATCACGATATTTTTATTGGGTTACATAGTATTTTTGTTGTAATGGTACCCTACCATCAATAGTTTCATAGACTCCCTTAGCTACCAGGTCTGAGATGCCAATAAAAATGTCATCAAAGGGGTGCGTTTCCTTCCAAAACGCCAACACTGCTTCAGCTTCTTTCTCATCTTCGGGATAGAAAAACCGTGCCCCCTCTAGGGCACACATCTGCTTGGCATCCTTCCACGTTCTGGGTATTGTTTGCATTTTATAGAAACTTTCTGTCGCTTCAATATACTTGTAGTCTTTACGGAAAAACTTTTTATCCCTTTGGCCATCTACACAAAACCAAAAAAAGTATTAAACAATTATTGCTAACGGGAAATTTGTGTATCGTAATACTTTATGAATAACAGGTTTTATCACCTGAACGGTATATTTACAAACCACCAAATACATTAGTGACAATCTTTGATTTAATGACAATTCATTAAATAATATTCTTAATAGGTTTTACTAATGGACTAAATAGCTCCAAATTATCTTATCATAGATCATGTACTGTTTTAAGGCACGTGGGAATTTTCAATTTAGATTTAATTTTTATGTATTAATACATTACATATTAGTATAGAATATCTTATAGTTTTTTTTTAATCAACTCCCGCATTAGGAATAAGTATATCCTGTGTCGCGGGGGACTTTACGAACATACATGAAACGGACACAAAGAATACCCACACTCAGAACAACAATTTGTGGATCACACAAAGTGAAGTCCCATGTGGGGATCGGACCCAAAGCACTTAGCGTAGTAGTAAGCGGCGTGGTGACTGCTTAAACCACTACGCCATCCGTGCAGTCATATACAGCATTGCATGCATTATATACCTAAACAAAGTAGAGTATACCTATTATGCTCTCAAGATCTAAAACAGAGATGTGGAAACAGATAAATATCTTTTTTAAATCCCGAATAAGCACAATCTTTAATGTGAACAAACGAATGACTCTCATAATAGATAGAAATAAATTATGTTGTTTATTTCTGAAAAAGACAAATTTTGTATCTAGGCACACTAGGCTCACTAACCCAATTAAATAATAAAAAATAACTCACTCGAAAAACTTGGCATAAAACACACTATAAATAATATAAAGAAGGTTTTCGAATACATTTTATAAACGATTACGTAGACAAGTCGCGGCAAGTATTCAGTACCGCAGTGCAGAAACGTATGACCGCGACTGTCGGTTCACTAACGGGTTTTAAGAATTCAAAATATGTTAAAACATTAGCAGTTATCTTCAAAGGCACAAATTACACAAATATCAAATCTGTCTGTGTGTGTGTGTGTGTGTGTGTGTAAAATAACCGGCTAAACAGGAAAAATATAACAAAATGTGTTGGTTTGCACTAATATAATACTATTAATTCAAAGTTAATTTCACTTTATCTAGTGAAAAATAATCTTATTCCTACCCGTAGCGATTTGCAATCGTTGTTTTCAAACCATCGCGATTTTACAAGTTAGCGTAATATGGGGTATATTACGAGGGACATACGATAAGGAGGTAATATACCCCCATTTTTATTTATGTACATTTCAGTAGAAACCTAATTTTTTTGATTCTGTGTGTTTATCTAGATGTGAAAATACTTAATTTGCCCCACTCCTGATATTTAAATGGGGTTTTCACCATTGACAAATACCAAAAAAAAAGTAAATTCTTGCGTCCGATACCTCGGCATAACCATTACACTCGAAAAATATTGACTTTGCCAGCATACCACCCATACAAAACAAGGTACATAAAATGCTGAGAATGTTCAAAATAATCAACTCGGTGATTCCCCCAATTTAACCTTTAACACCAAATGTCACATCCATTTTTTTTTATGTGACATAAATGTCACACAAGAAATAAATTTATAAAACCAGAAGTAAAGCTACTTAAAAAGCCATTATATGTGTGCATTGTGTGACCTCAAATTCAATTTTCATTTTAGTTGGAGTTGATTGTTTAAGATAGCTTTTAGCGTCATTATTTTTTACTAAGACAGGTTTATTTATAAAGGATATAGAGGTTTACTCAAATATTTATGACAGGCAAGCCTGTATAATTTATTTTGTCGCAAACATTGTATAAAGAACTTAATTCTTTATACAATGTTGGGAAGTCTTTTTGGGTGTATTTATACGTGATCAACTACGTATGTTTCGCCTCGCTAGTTAACTCCTTATTATCTTGGTTAAGAAAAACTTGCTTAAACAAGTTACTTCGTGCTTATACAACAAGCGTACATTAAAAGGCAAAATTATAGTATACTGCGTGTGTGCGTCTAATGTACTAGCTGCGACTTCCACGTAGAATATCTGTCGTACAAACTTTGATCCTCTATGTTACCACGTTTAATTTATTTTTTGCAACAAAAATTCAACGAAACGAACAGACAGAAAGTCCATAGTAAAGATGAGTCTAAGAAGAAGTTAGACTTTAATCCACGACTAGCAATGTCAGTGCTCTCTCTTTAGAAAATGGTTGCCTATGGACGGCCCCAAAATGTCATTGATTACTAAAATCTTTATGTTACGCAGAATGTAAGTATTTACACAATACTCTAAAATAAATAAAAAATCTTTTTATAAAGATAATGTTTATTTCTTTAATATCTATAAAGTTATTTTCTATTGTTTTAACATAAAAACTAGCGTCTTTTGTCACCGAATCTGTTGTCAAAGTCCGTAGTGAGCGTGTCAACCTCGTGTTCACAGATGAAGAAGCATTTTCTATCGCATCGAATATCATTCAAGTGACCGTTATAGAACATCGAACCGCAACGCTCATCCACTCCCCGAGTTGCACCATCAGGCTGACCATATCCCCAGTTTGCATAGCCGCTATCTGCAAGTGATGTACCTGAAAATGTGTAAGCAGCTTAGTATTGTGACCACATCCCCATAGAGCAAAACATTTATGTATACAAACGCCATCTAGAACGGATGAGCCGAACTATCCAGGAACTTGATCCTGCATCGCAGAATGAAAGTTCTCACCCCGATAAGTATATGCACATGCACATACAACCTTCTAACATCAACAATGGGGAACTCATGCAGCTTGACCGTCAAGGTGCCGTGACGACTGAGATGGTCTGCTACCATCATGATCATCGCCTACAATTCACCAAGTCCTCTACCCCTGTTAAGGGGTCAGCGAATGGAGTAGGAGGCATCGCTCCGAATAAGCCTGCAGGGCGTTGTGACAACCATCATGGTATGATGTCAATGACACACTGTTGATATGACATAATGTCATATCAATAAACCAGCTATAATCGGAGAATGCTTCATTGCTTGGAGGGACATAACAAACATTCCTCCAAAAGAGTGTACACAAATATAACGAAGATTTTACAGATATATAAATATGAGTTTCTTAAGTATATTTGGAACTGTTCATTTCGTATACCTGCTGTTAAAATTAAATATGCCAGATGGGTAGCAGATAACAAACTTATAATATTATTGCCTGATATTAGTTACATTGTATCAGCGTATGTTGATATTGTGTCTGTTGATCTATGACTTTGAAGTCTACATAAAATATGATTTCAAACAATTTTAATTTTTTTCATGAGATACATTTTTAAGGTGGAGCAAACCAAGTAAGTTGACAATATTACACATAATAAAATTAAATGTATTAGAAGTAATTCGGTGTCTTCTATAGTTGCTGTCTACGTCAGCAAAGCAAAACGTCCGGTCGACATTTGTCCAATTAGATATTCGAGCCGTCCTAAAAATTCGAATTACACGACATGAAACCGATGATAAACTTGTAAAAACGGGATTTTGTTTGCGCAATGGTATCTACCAGAAACACAAACCCCTTACTTATGACAAAACTAAAATAATTAACCTCTGACAGTCTGCCAGCCCTCGTCGCTTCTATCGTGAAAGCCTAGGAGAACAGCTCCAGCCATAAAGTCTCCTGTGACTTGGTTCTTCGGTGCACTCTCTGTCATTGCTACAAGGTAGTCAGCCTCAGTTTGTGTATTAATAACCGCCAAATAGGCCTGTTCAGTACTGCACACAGCGTACGCCTCAGTCCAATTTAATGGTTTCAAGTGGAATTTGTAGCATCTTCCTAATTTTTCGTTGAATGTATAATCTATAAAAAGAAAAGATAGAAGTAAAAGTCCTATTAATAATAATAAAAGTCGTAATAGTAAATCATTTCATTGTAAATCTTAGAATTAACCTTATAATCTAAAGTACTTTCTATTTACAGAAAGTATTTTCTGAATCTTGCTTTTCATGATTTAGTAGAGTTTTTTCTTTTCCTGTCTTGGAGTTCAGCTAACTCAAGCAACAAGTATACCAAAGGAAATTCAAATTCTTTCGTTTATTTTAAACTGATTAGTTACCTAAATTAGGCATGTTACATTCCTGGTTCCACTCCAGTGACACGAGGCTCTTCTTGCAGATAAAAGGATACTTGGCGAAGCATCGATCGTCGTTAAGGGTTCCGTCTCGTCTTAAAATCACACAGTCTTCGTTACCATTGGCATCGTTGGGCTCACCTGGACCCCAGTTATTGTATACGTCGCTTACCGGAATACCTGAAAGTGGTGCGAGTATATTCTTTTTGTTTCATAACTTCAACCAGCTCTTACTAACATCTAGTGCACTGTCGATATAATTACAGTTAAACTTTGGAGGTGGTGCTAATAATTAATATCTAAAGGTCTGTTACCAACTTCTTACAAAAAAAAACAAAAACTTATTTTTATTAGCTCATTTCGCAATAAGTAACAATAAAAAGCGGGGTCGCTGTTTTTCCTAACTATCAAAACGACAATGTTACAGAATCGTTACACGACAAGACGGACCGATGTTAATGTAAAGTCAAAAGTACAAGTTTGTAACCAACTCCTTGGGGCGTGATTTTGACTGACTTTAAACGGTCAGAATTCGTTCAAACTCAATACACTACATATTATTCAAGACTTCTTCAATACACTATTCTTCAAGACAATACACAAATTAAAAAAAAAAAATATAGTTTTAAAAAACTAAAAAATAGAAAATAAATTCGAAAATAAGCGTTGGGTGCCTGTTGCTAATAGTAAAAAGCACCCCACGCTTTTTTTAGAAAGCGTGTTTTTTAGTTTTTAAATTAGTGTATTGTCTTGAAGAATAGTGTATTGAAGAAGTCTTGAATAATATGTAGTGTATTGAGTTTGAACGAATTCTGACCGTTTAAAGTCAGTCAAAATCACGCCCCAAGGAGTCGGTTACAAACATACAAGTGAAGCTAATATAAAGCGTGTAATAAAGGGACTTCATGTCAATTTAAAAACCTTTATAAATTTCATGTTTCTTACAGATGAAAAAAGGTGTGAAAAACGGAACAGTAAATAGTAAATTATATGATTTCCACTGTATAATATGGTGCGACATTGATAATTAAATTTTTGAACATTTGAAATCGTGGCAATTTCAAGTTTTTTGTAAGGCTAAATAAATAAACCGTTTTAATTTAATCGTTATTTAAAACAAGTTTACATCCTTGTGCAAAAATCTAACATGTAAAAGTATCGTTTTTGACCGTTTAGACTATTTCGTTCTTCAATATATCCATAGATTTTTCATAGTACAGTATATTTTGTTAAGAGTCTAAACAGTAAATAAATCTGTTCTGCATTTTTCTCAAGACCCAAAATGTTTTTATTTTTTACGCCGCCCATTTTTGTATCGAAGCGATTGGGATGCACTGTTACAATTATTACCATGGTCTCAGTTGCCTAATTTATAATGTAAGCTCCCTTACGCTATAAGGAAATATATTCAATTTCATCAATGTAATAAAATACGGGGGTTTTGATAATTTATTTACGATTTGAATTTAAATCTCTTGGGTTTTACACGTGATTACACAACACAACATTTGACAGTTCGAGAAAGTAGTAGACAACTTTTGCACTTAACTTACTTTTTTATATCTAATATTCTTTTCTCAATAATAAATGCTAGCGTCTAGATACGCTTAAGAAAAGTCGTTTCATATGTTTACGTAACGTATAGTGGAAAGGAACGGAATATAATGACCGTGTAAGTATCTAATAAAATTTAGCAAACCTTTACGCTAGAAATCAAAAATCACAAAAAAAGGAAAACTATGTATGAATGTTCCTGACAGTTCTATGTTGTTGAACTTATAAAAATAATTCACATTTTTCTTCTTAAAATCCTTACCGCGTCGCTCTCTACTCTCGACTTAAAGGTCAACAGACTTCGAAACGTGTCTTTACAAAACATAACTAAATGAGCAACGCAATAAGACTAACTTCGCATCAATTGTATTTGACCTACTTCAAAAAAATTACTTGTTTTGCCCATGGAATTATTTTTGCCAAATATTTTTAACCTTGAAGCAAGCAACATTTTGTAAGATGATAAATATTGCTTTAATATTTTATTAAAGTTTCAAATGACTGTGAATCGGGACCATACACTAAAACTCTGATGATCTGTGCCTGAGTGTGAAGTACGAAGTTGTTAGTTGTATTTTTTTCAATTCAATGAAACCTTCCTTGTTTTCTTTTTCTAGAAATACGATAGTTGTGATACTTCGAAAATTGAAATCACAACCCACTTTAATAAGTCTACATTTGAATTTCACCTGAATTTCTACGGAATTTGTTGTGCCCTTAATTTTTAGACATAAAAAGAAAGATAGAATCGCAAGATGCTAAAACTAGAAAATATGTAGGTCACTAATAGAAACCCCTAGTTGATTACCGAATTACTTAGAGCATTAAACCAAATTTTGTAAAGTAAATAGAATTGGTTTAATGCTATAAGCCGAATTAATGACAACATCGACTTGCGAAGAAACCAAGATCACTGTATACTGAACCTTAATGATACACATCTTAATTTCTTAGTTCTTTTATCTTTACAAAATTTTGTTGAAATAATTTAGTCAGTTGTTTTGTTTTATAAAATACTGTTTTAGATACAATTATGTTACGAACCAAACACATAGCTCAATTAGCTTCTGTTGCCCAAACATTGAGGATTAAAGTTAGGTAAAGGTATTGAGCATTAATCTGAGGAACAAAATACATTAGTACACAAATCAGATCTTTTGAAGGGTTAAAATACTTCCCTAATAAGTTAGCCTATGATTTAAAAAGAAACCTTATCCGCCAAACCTTCCACTCTCATGTCAATTTTTATAGTTTTATTTCTAATCAAGCCAGCTAATAAAGCACAAAAAGCACAAAGCAAAACTTACCGTCAATTGTTTCAAAAACACCCTTGGCGATCAAATCTGAGATACCAATGAATACCCATCTGAATGGCTGCGTTGTGTTCCAAAACGCCAGCACTGTTTGTGCCTCATTGTCGTCTTCCGGGTAGAAAAGACTAGCGCCCTCTAACGCACACATCTGCTTAGCATCCTTCCATGTCCTGTGCAATGTGTGAATCTTATAAAAACTTTGTGTCGCTTCTAAATACTTGTAGTCTTTACGAAAAAATTTCTTATCCCTTTGACCATCTATGAAAGGAAAAATAAGTCAAAATTATTCTACGATATCCAAGGCATATCTTAATGATGTAGTTCTGTTCTATTAGTCATTAGTCTGTCCTGTGTTAACAAGTCGTAAGTTTAAGTCATGAATGCAATGGGGGGGAGGGGGGGTTTACTTAGAAAGTGGCATATTTTCTTTTACAATAATAACGGTGTGAAAGCAACGCTCAAGTTGTCCGTACATAGTTTCATCTGTTCCGGAGGAAAGAAAAGCAGAGGGAAAATAAAAGATTATGGGTTCTGTCTCTAGATAGGGTCAGATAGGTTAACTTTTTTATAAAACACATATTCCGGATAGATAGATACTTTTTTACATTACAGAGTAGAAGTAATTTGTTTATTGTTTTTTTCTTTTCTCGTGTTTGGTAGTCTAATTGCTCTTAGTAGACGCAAATGTTTACCTAACCGTGACTGCACGGATGGCTTAGTGGTATAAGCGGCCACCTCGGTGCTTCCTACTACGTTGCGTGTTATGTGTTCGATCCCCACATGGCACAGCATTTTGTGTGATCCATAAATTGTCGTTTTGAGTCTGGGTGTTTTTTGTGTCCGTTTCATGTATGTTTGTAAAGTCCTCCCCTGACAGGATATATATTCCTAGAGCGCTACCTTTCTTTATCTTTCATCAGAATACGACAGTTCCATTAATAAAATTATCTGAAAGTTGCTACGGTGAAATTTACATTAATTTGGCCTAAATCAAAATCCTTATAATTTTATTATTAATGCAAATTTCTTCTGTTTTATTTACTATGCCTCTGTAAACATGTTTATGAACTCACTCAGAAAAGGGGAAATCCTGTGTACTGTTAAAGATAATGTGACGTATGCGCTGAGGTCAACATTTATAACTGATTGCACAAGTCTCAAGACCTTTGCTCGGTTTGCATATTCCTTTTTTATTGTCGATCGTTAAGTGTGTTATCTTTTGAAAACAGGTTTTGAAACTGTGTGAGCTAACAAAGGAGGTTAACTAAACGATCCAATCATTTTATATCCGGCCTATAACTTTTTTAATACCTACTTTTTAAGGCCTAGCCGATGTCTAGATATGTATGATTTGTAAGTACTGTATCAAAATGTGAAGGATTCGTTCATTAATCAAATTAGCAAACTTATAAGATTAGAAATCACTGTCTAATGTTATTATTCCTAACATATTGGTTTTGAACTTCTCACTAATAGTAGGTACTTAGGTAAATAATCACAGATACAAAACATTAAACTAGACTTTATTTCCCGTGGTTAATAATAATAATAATCCTGTACTATTCTATCTATTCTGTGCTGTACATTACGTCATATTTTCGGACTCCTTTTTTTAACTTAACAATCTAAAAGTAAAATCCCCACCACTTAATTCTCTCAAACTCAAACACAAAACTCAACCAAACGCGTAACTGTTATTTAAATATGATAGAATGTGAACTTACCAGCATAATTTAACACAAAAACCGCAATTAATAATACGAATATATTTTTCGAACACATTATTAGATAAACAGACGTAAAATAAAAATACAGCGACACGTAAACTCCACCGCAGTTGGTTTACGTATGACCGCTAACGAATGGCGCGATCTCTCGGCTCTCGGCTACTAATGCCGAGATTCACCCGTTGAACGGCTCAAGAACTTACATACTAAAATATTGGCAGATACGTATCTACCTACATACCTATCATTATAATGTGTGTTGAAAGGAATCAGAATAACAGGAAAATGTAACTGAATTTGATGTACGCGTCTTTTTTCGGTTAAGATAACGATTAACGATTTATTGTCTATTTGTATGATTATTTGTGATTGGCTTGAAATTTTATTAACTTTTATTAGAGTTATTAAATGTTCTTTAACTGGTATCTACCATATTTGTTTCTAAAAATCTTTAGATTTGTCACAAAAAGATTAAGAACATATAGTTGGTGAAAAACAGGTAAACTTTTTTTCTTGTGATATATCCTAATATGTATTGGTCAGTGTCAGTGTGTTGTCAGTGTGGTGACAGATTAAGAATACAGAGTGTCACCATACCCTCTGAGGACGGCAAAAGCACCTTATTCTTCGCGATCATAGCCGCTGCCCACACTGGTCCGTCCTACAGTGCCATTCATCGGTCAACCCCCCTGTACAGCCGTCTCTTCGCGACGCTGGGTCCACCCAAATTGGGTAAAAGTCGCCGTAGGGCAGCCACAGCGCCGACCAGCTTTGGAGCAAGCTGTCGGAAGTACTCGTCGAAAAGCCACCTCTCGTCGAGGATCAGACCCAGATACTTTATCTGAGCTTGAACCGAGTTGACCACGATTGGAATGCTTCCCTGATGCAGCTGAATGGCAGACTATTGAATGCGTTGGCGTCCACCGCCTCTTCGGTCACGGCCCTCAGGCGCAACATAAAGCCGACCGTCGAACGCCCCGTTCGAAAATCGAATTGGACATCCGACAGATCGGGGCCAACCTCGTAAAGGTGGCGGACGATGCGGGATGAGAGTAACCTCTCGAACAATTTAACCACCTCGTCCAGCAACACGATGGGCCTGTACGCCGCTACCGAATCGGCAAGCCGTCCCGCTTTTTCAACAAGACCAGCTTTCCTCTCTTCCAGCACTCAGAGAAACGTTCGGACGCCAAGCTAGCGTCAAACACCTCCCTAAAGCGGTCCGACATGTAGTCGAGAGCTCGGGCTAGCACTCGGGCAGGAATCCCGTCTGGCCCAGAGGCGGTGTTCTTGGAGATCCGTAGAACAGCCGCCTTTACCTACGAATCCGTGACTCCTTTTATCACATTACGCCTTGACACTTGTCTTCAGTTAGGTGCGTCTTGTGTTTCTACGCATCTTAGTCACTGAGGAGAAGCTGTTGACAGTATTGGACATTATGGCCTTTCTTGTAGCAGAAGCGCTCGCCATACAATTCGAAATGCCAATATTAACGAAATTATCCGTCTTATTACCGCCGGCGTTCTAGATGTACGTGAACCCAATGGTCTGGTACGAGACGATGGGAAGAGACCGGACGGTATGTCGTTGCTGCCATGGAAGATGGGCGCGCCATCACATCTTCCAAGCACAGCTGGTTATGCCGGCACTGCTGCTGCATCCGCAGAAACCCTCAAACGGGGGGGTTGGGGTCCGAGAGCTCGTGCTATGTATGAACAACTAGCTAAACAACTGATCGACACTTCTCGTGATCAAAAGGCCGGCCTTTTTCTAGCACAGTGAATTAGCATTGCAATTCAACGTGGCAATGTTGCCAGGCTTCTGGGAACGCTACCAGTAGGCTATGAGGCGGAGGATATTTTATGCTTGTATGTAAATAGTGTAAATGTTGTAAATATTTTAATTGCACTATAATATATTTATTTTTAATGTAAGCTTATATTTTATGAATAGTTGTATAATTAATGGAATTTAATATTTATCTATAAAAAATTATCTTAAATAGAATAGATTTTACTTATAAGATTAACATAATGACATGTAGACTTTGCTCACCTAATCCGGCAATAAACCTGTTATATTAAGAACATAACAGAACTAAAAATCAACGGGCTTTTGAGGATTATTCTTATTTTTAAGTTTTATCTCAACTTATTTTTTTTTTTATTTGAGATACTTCATTAAAATTCTATTTGGATGTTGACCTTTTTTTGCAGATGGTAACACAGAGACAGACTTAACTGGTTTATTGACGTAAACGTTCCAATCATCCAATCACTTTGAAATTTTATCCATCCATAACCATAACATCAATGACAGATATTACCAAACTCTGTTTTATCTCATCTAATAATATCAGAATTTGTCGGTTACTGGTTCAAAACTTATAAGCGTGTATGGCCGACCTCCGGTCAGTCTCATCAGCTAGGCGACGCTTATATACCAAAACAAGCTGTGGAGATAACGAGAAACGACTAATTAGCGACTAAATTTAGGAGAAAACATATCTTAGCTACGTGCCCTAATTTTTGAGATATAAGCGTAGCCAAGCTAAGAAGAAGAAGACGCTCATAACTTTTGAACCAGTGACCGACAAATTCTGGTATTCGGCGACAAATTTTTGTGTTATCAAATTAAAATCCCTGATGGTAGCCAAGCAAGTGTCAGTGACACAGAAAAATCTAATATTTGCAATAATTAACTATTAAATTCAAATTAGAATTCTGTCCTTAATGGTGGATTCTGAGTTTTCAATTTTTTTTAGGTTGTTCTAGTCGAGATTTCCTTACATTGTTTGTTCAAAAGTATCATGGTCAATTTATGTAGTCTTTACAAACGTATGCACGAAAGCAAATAAGAACCATAATGTGTTTTGAAAGTTACAAAGCTTCCGTTTTTGTTTCACGCATAGTGCATAAGTCGATTAGCAACAAGACCTTTGCTCTTAAAGTAATATGTTTAAAAAGTTAAGATTCATTGGCAAGGAAATAAAAGACAATATGTATTTTTTTATAATTTTATTTTGAGGTGTAAGTTTATTCGCATTTAACAATGTTTCATACAAATTTCCTCATTTTGTACACACCTTTTCTTGGTTTTGTTTTTGTAGTTATTATCTTTTATAAAAGTTGTTTCTCTAAATTTTAACATGTCGTCATGTCTGTTCCCTATATCTAATTCGCTTCACCACTGCTGTTAAATCATGTAATAATTAACAGAGGATTTACTAAGGCAAAGTATTAGGAGGAAAAATAAAATAGTTACTGCGGACTAATAGATTTAAGAAATAATAATTATACAAAATTATTGTGTTTCGATGAACACGGAATGGGTCCTTATCGCATAATATCAGCCTTCCCATCGTTGGACGTGGCACTGGGTGCTGGACCTCGTGCCACGTGCCACGTGGCTCGGCGTGCAACAAGTGCAACCTACCTACACGTAACTAATAGACATTGCACACATCGCACTGGTATCAATGGACTCGAACGCCAGTCCACGAGGCTGCCAGTTACACCTAATAAAAAAATTCGTTACTAAATAACAACTAAATCACTTTAAAATCAATTCAAAATGTACATTATTCATCTTATTCACGTAAAGAAATCTAATCTGCTACAAAAAATTAGCAACTTTAAATACAAAGATCACCTAGTCCGTCTATATAAAATTAATCGCTTAAGTATTATAAAACACAATAGTGAGTGTGTATGTACGCACGCGACGCACGCGGCTTACGTTGTGATATCGTTTATTATGCCTTCTAGTGTACATTCAACGAATCAATAGCGAAACATATTGCGTTGACACATTAAAACTAAAAAAATGACTGTACATGTTATATTTAATATGTAAATATTTGTACATATTGCACTCTGAAGTAACAAAAATTATTAAGAATTATCTGTCGAAACGAAGAATATATACGCAGAACAAAAATATCTCGGTAAATACAAGTTCAAAGTAATTAGCAATCACAATGTTCGTAGCTCACTTATCTAAGTCCCTATGGCTTACAAAGCTTACAAAAGATAAATACAGAGGTCATTTACAAAAAATATACTTCTACCCAAATAATATAAAAATAACAACAGCCATCTGTACTTTCTTAGATGAATAAAATTAAACGTACATATGTCAAACATATGACAATAGAATCTAAAGGTACCTATGTACAAGTTTAATGGACACAGTAGACTTTATCAAATCCACGATAATTTATTTAAAAGACTGGACGTGCCACGTTTGGTCACTACTATACTCAGTGCTACCGAAGGTATGAACTAAACATGGATCAAGAAGATCAAGGCTTGAAGGGCAGCGGTGTTCGCCGCGTCATCTGTCTGCGAAACGTCACCCGTCGCTCCTCTCCCGCCTAGCCTGGTGCTCCAGTGTGCCGTATCGTTCACGATATCATCTCAACCAGCGATATAAACTTATTCTCTTACTAATGTTCCATTATCAGCTAAAGACACAAATTATATTAGGGTATCTCATTACTTAGTTTCTCATGTGAGATTATTACATACTTAATAATTCTATTACAATTTCAAAATCGAATAATATGTATCAAATACGACCGGCTGTGCACCGACAGAAGCCGAAGTCTATGAAGCTATTTATGAAATTCTATGCGACGAATGATATTTAACAATTACTTATCGAATGGCAGTTATATTTGTCACAAACTCGAGATGCGAGCCTGGCCGTGCGACGCTTAGGCATTCGCATCTCGGTTATAAGGCAACATATCGCAGCGTTTAGATTTAATGGTGAATGTTCTATTTTCTACAAGTCACGACTGAAATATATCAATAAAAACCCGCTATGAGTACACGCATACAAGATCGCACCATGCATTAGTGTTATACGTTTATAATGGCAGTGTGTTTGTTATCAATACGCTCTTATTTAACAGAGACACCTAATACACTTCAGTGACGTTTGTGCTTCGTTTGCTATTTCCAAATCGCCTAATTCTATGATAAAATTATATAATGTTAATCGAAAAACCGTCCATAAGCGAACTAGCGCGCGGTCCGCGGTGCAAGCCCGATCGTCTCACGCTGTATTTTATACGTATAATAAGAAATGCATTTCCAAAAAGTCCAAACATATGTATTATTTTAATATATAACACACATAATGGCATGTAAAGAAGACTCATTCAACACGCACCAAACACTTATGTTACTTACTTATCGAATTAAATGTATGAAGTGTGGCGAGATGTGATACACAGATGAGCATTACACGCGATATTTGGTATACTACCTTACGTACGATGAATTGCGACAGACATAGAAGGCTTCGAGACGGACACAGTACAGAACCGAGGGGACGCGTTGTCGACATAAACATGAACAACGAACGCACGACGTAAGACACGCTTAACGTATGACTGTTTAATAACGCTTACCGATAATTGAGATCTCATTTTATGTTCTATATACTATGATTTTCCACTCATCAACAGTGTAGGTACACGGTACAGGTAACGCGAAATAAGGCATTTCGTATGTAGTATAGTTCTCCACGGGCAGTATTTGTATGTGCCGGTTTTTAGAATACTCTGTGTGTTTATAATCATATTTCTTCTTATTGTAACACAAACGAGGGGCGGGTTTGAGTTTACAAGTTGCCGGATCACGTTGCGTGCATGCAGTCTTTCAACATTTTACAGTGCCTTCTACACCAATATTGTTCCCACAGATAAGCTCGGCCAAATAGATTCTAGATTTACATTTCATTTAAATTGAAGCCGTAGAATAGAGGTAATTTAGCTGCCATTTTGTACTTTTATCATACACATAGAATTAAAGGAATGTACTAAAAATAATAAATACTTAGAAAGATTATTGGTTTAATTTAGGTGCTATCAACAACGCCAACATCCTACGTAACAGCTGCCTTAACGCATGCACGCAAAGTAATGCTTATAAATAAATGGTTATTAAATGTTTGAATAAATATTGTACAAAACCGGGATTGTCCCAAACCAGCCCTTCGTTACCTAAGCATATTGTGACACAAATAGTCTATTTAACGTATTTCTATTTATTGTATGATTATGAATAAAACATTCACTTGCACATTCAACACATTCAGTAGCAAGTGCCTAAACACATTCGAAACGAAGCGTGTTCTTCATTCGACACTGAAGCTGTGTAAAATTGTATGTTAATGTAATAAGTGTAACGTTTAATATTGCGGTCAAGTGTCCAAGTCATCGATTAAAACACCTAATTAAAAATCGAAGAGGCTGCTTGTGTGAAGTTATCGAGAACATATTTGTTACGTTCGTATGTAGTAAGACGCACTTATGTCAGCCTACGGTAGACAATAATTCAACATGTTATAAATGTAATCACAGCAATAAATTAAATTAGTCGTTTACTTGAAGGACGTGGGCACTAGACGATGGAACATGAATCGGAACGAAACTCGACAAGACACGATAACACGTCTCACATAAACTATATATAAACAAACATTCGTAGATCACCACGAGTCCGTGGACACGGCGAACGACTCATCACATATTCTGTTATAGTCAAAGGGTTAATCAACATATTGTTAATTTTGGTAAATAAACATAACTATCAACTTTTCACTCAATAGAAACATCTCTTCATATATTACTTTGTCTCTAATAACTCTCGTAACGTACGTACGTATGTATGTGTAAATTTAGGAGGTGTACTTATCGAACGAAGTCTTATCATACAGTCGTATCCGAGTGACCAACTCAGTATCCAGTCGTAAACGTATAAAGGCGAGGCCGAAGCGAGCGTGGGGTTCGCGGCCCTTCGGCCTCGAAACGATCAACACTAATATATATTCTCCAAACGTTCAACAACACATATATTCACTAATCTCTCGCACATCATCGTCGTCGGTCACCGAATACGTACGAAATGGGGTACGCAGTACGCAGTACCCTCTTAAGCGCTAAATCGCAGTCCTTATAAATACGTTGATCACGTCCGACGTCAGTGTCCGTGCACTTCACTAAAACTAGCCAGTCTATGAGCGTTCTCTCCTGGGGCTCCGCCTGGCGCCGGCGGGGACGCTGGGGCGAGGGGCGCGGGGCCAGGGGGGCGCTGGGGCCTAGCGACCCCAGCGGCGGGGGCGGGGGCGGGCGCGGGCGGCGGGGCGGGCGCGCAGCTAGAGCAGCGTGGGCCTCTCCACCACGACGGGTGACTTGGCCGTGGACACCTCCGCCACGTCCCAGATCTCTTCGAGGAACGGGGGTAGTTTCCTATTCTTTAGCTTGAGCGAGATGCACATGTTGGAGTTTTGCATGCCGAGCGTGCGAAGCTCTGTGAGCACGCCGAGGATTTTGCCGTACACCACACGGCAGCGCGGCGACGCGCTGTATTGGTTTAGGATGTACACTCGCAGTGTGTTCAGGTAGTATCGCTGAATCTCTTCCACCAGTTGTGGATGTTCCAAACCCGGCCGGTCTGCAAGACAACATTACCAAATAATTAATCAATCAGTATTATTAACGTCGTAAAATAGCGGCATAAATATATTGCAGGGTCGTTTGCGTTATTGTCATGAGTACCCAATGCTGAGAAACCTTTCTAGCCGCTCGGTCTCACGGATAAACCCGTCTGAGAGACTAAGTCGGCAGATCAAATCTTGATGATTAAGCGTCCGGCCCGTACAGATATTATCGAATTCGTTTTCGTATCATTTTACAGACAGTATGGCATACAATATGTTTTAGATTGGTTGTATTTCAACCTACAACCAATACAGGTAGAATTAGCGGAAAAAAACTAGGAAATTCAGAAAATTCCTATTAATTGGAAATTTGCAAAAGAAAAAACTTTAGTAAGTAAGTAGTAACTTTAGTCTTAAGGAGCAAGGCGCGAGTGGAAGGGGCAGCCATCGTAGTCCAGTTGACGTACTCTGAATTTGAAAAAAAAAATATGACCAAGGGTGCTTTTATGATACTATACGTACGTATTTGAGGACGCTGATTACGGGCAAATAAAATAAAAAATAAAAATTGATTGTCCCCCTCTGGCAATCAAAATTATCATTGAGAATATACACGGTGATTTACAATAAAAATGGTTAAATCAATTGTAATGTTGTTAAAAAAAAGTTTCAGTTTTAATATTCATTTTTACTCGATCGACTTGGAAAGTAGTAATGCACTGATCATTCGTTCATTATCTTATATGAATGAAACACATCCGTGCGCGTTTCGGCGGCCGCTGCGCACCGCTGACGCTAACAGCAGCTGATAAAAGTATACCTATAGGCGAGCTAGCGAGTACTTACGTAGATAGACTCCAGTTTGTCCTTCATACTTAACACGGGCTTAGGACCGTCGGAAATACCTATTTTATTTAAACTTCTTTTCGATTATTAACCACGATTGTTCTTTTCACAACAAATCAATTTTTCAACGGACTGTAGGTATAAATATTTCAGGCGTATTTAAAAAATCGGAGCTATCTACAGAATAATTAGTTATTTAATTTAATTAATTATTTACACTTCTCTGTATCGAAGCAACTGCTCAAAATGGAGTCCGCTGCGTTCAATACACAAACGTCCACGTTTAATGCAATTGTTTTTTAATATTCTTGATGTGTCTCTATCACTTTTCACTTTATCAAAAGCGTCCACTATCGCAATGCGTAAATCATCACGGCTTTCATATTCCCGTGTATAAACAAGTCTTTTTATTTCCGACCATAAGAAAAAATCCAGGGGCGTTAAGTCCGGGCTTCTAGGTGGCCAAGGCACAGGCCCTCCTCGACGTATCCACCGATCACTAAACTCATTGGCCAGGTATGCACGCACTACACTCGCGTAATGAGCGGGACAACCGTCGTGTTGGTAATACATACGTCTCGAGTAAGCTAACGGCACATCGTCTACTAACTCAGATATTACTGTCCTTAACATCTCTAAGTACGAGTTGCCGGTTAGATGACCTTCAATAAAAATAGGCCCTATTAATTGGTCTTTAATAATACCGGCCCAAACGTTCACACTGAAACGAACCTGGTGATGGTTTTCTCGTATCAAGTGGGGGTTAATTACTCGAGTAAACAGTGACTCGTCCGTCCAGAGTATGTTGGCGTTTGTATTATTTAACAACCACTGGCAAAAGGCGATTCTTGCCGGTGCGTCAGTGTTGTTTATCTCTAGGCTCACGTAGAGCCTTACGAAAATGATACGGATGTAATCCTTGTGTACGTAATATCTTCCATACGAAGTTTTGGCTAACATCGAATTCTCGTGCTGCCATCCTCGTGCTACGCCGGGGATCGCGCTCGAAGTACTCAAGAACATCTTCTTCAAACTCAGTCAAACTCCGGCGAATAATAATTTAAACGTTCTTGACCTTGCGCATGAGTAGGCGCACGAAATTGTCCGTGGTCGAGAAGACGTTGGGTTGCAGCCAAGATGCAGTAGGTGTGGAGGGAATTTGAGGGCTTTCAATTCCACGTAGCCGTAGTGCATTTAAATGCTCCGGCTGGGAATACAAACGCCGAGCCTCTTCCAAGTTGTAGTTGACATTAGCGTACAGCTGTACCATTGCCAAGTACTCCACGTTTGAAAATTCGTACTGTGGACTCATTTTAGCGCTAATCAATGTAGCGTGCCGTCACGATGTTATGGTATTACTGACCGACTGAAAAAGAAGAACGCCTCACTATTACAGGTGAGTCCCGCACATGCGCCTACGGGGCATACGACTCAGTGCAATGCCGTATTGGTTGGACGACTCCGGCGCAACTCGGTAGCTTCGTTTTTATTGGCGAATACGATTTTATGTGACTCGATATTAAAACGCATAGTATTTCTATTTGTAGTATTTACCTACGTGTGATTGAATAGCGTTACTACTGGTTCTCACTTTTTCTCTGTAAACGATATGAATATCGACTTTGATGAAAAAAATATATATTTTATTAAATTAACGTTATATATAGCTTCTGTTATTGATAAATAATTCAAAATGTTCTGTTCCAAAACGCTTTCAAAATCACCGTGTATATTAACAATTATAAACATCCGACGTTGTAATTTTTTTAATAAATATATATTTTGGCGAATTATGGCGACTTTTTTATTAAGTACTACTTAGTTTCATAACAATTAAGTACCTGAAAATATAACGATGGCAGTAAGTAACGCGTAGTGTACGTTGTCCATTGTCATTGCATACATGCACCTACAAAAGTGCAGCAGGTCCTCGATGACGTAGGCCATGCCTGCTTTGCGGTAGTTGTCGCGAGTGTAGGCCTGGTTGTTGGCGAACAGCACGCTGTCCGACACGGCGTCGTAGCGCCGCGCCACTCGTAACATCATCACCTCACTTGAACAAGCCTGGAATAAAGTATTACCATCACAGATCATGACACTAATGATTATTATCTCATATTGCTGTAGGATACAAAATGCGGCTCTCTTATTAATTATTCCAGAAGAGAATAGATGAGAATTCCAAATTAGGGTAAGGAGATATCCTATACTCTTATACATACCTTTAATAACGTGATCTGGTCTGACTGCGAGATCTTGGCGAAACCGGGTAGGCCTTTAGCGAATTCTACAATTAGCTGCACTGTTAGGATGGTCATCTCTGTGATTTGACGGAACGGCATATCCGATTCCTCTTCGTCCTCATCTGAAAGCCAGGTCTGAAAAAAAAAATACATATCATACCATAAGTGTACAAGAGGGTTGAATAATAGAACGGTTAAGAACTGATTTCTATAACGCTTACAGTTTTTTACTGGAACGAACTCTGAGCGGATGGGAGCTAGACAGAAAAATGTGTAACAAGACTTTTTCTGACACCTTGCTATAGTTACAGCCATGTATAGCAAACGTCTAATAAAAAACCGAAAGGCACTTCGTTCCGACCGGGGTCCATAGACCCCTACACAACCCCCTCGGGTCGTCACCTCACCGGGGTTTGTGGCAGGGAGGTGTTTCGAGATCGCATCGACTAAAACCATACAGTGTACCACTCTGCGCCTAATATAGGAGTGATCCGGGAACAACTGTTAATAAAACATTCATTCGGCAATTGAACCCATTCTTGCGTGGTCAAGGGGGGGTAAGAGGGTCTCGGCAATATATAGCAATGTCTTTTACCTCAAAAAACTTTGTAAAATCATCTAAAATACTAAACTACGTTTAAGGTAAGGAAAGAATTTCATGTTATTTATTGTGTTTACCTGTGTGACTCTTTTCAGATCTTCGTCCGAAGGTTGTTCGTAACCTTCCTGATACCAGACAAGTCGGGCGATGAGACTTCTTTGATTGACTGACAAAGCGGGAATATTCTTCAGCCTGTTCTGTTCCATAAGCTTCTCATTCAGGAAACGCGGCACCACCTCGTGCTGCAAACATTCCAGCTTCACGTAGGAAACCGTCACATTATTATTTTGCTTCTAATATTAAGTGTTAAGGGGGCTAATCGACAAACTGTTACTTTTTTAATTGTTAGATTACTAAGTGTGTAAAACAGATAGATAGATTATTTAATTACTAAATCAATATGTATACTAAAAATGTTGTAAGTATAGTGTTTCCTACTAAATATGTGAACCTAGTCTAAAGCATGCTTAAGATAGTTGTGACAATACGAGAAGCAAAAAAAAACGGGACCAATCTAATTTACATTTCAAATAATAGTTTTAACAATAACAAAATTTAAAAACTCGACTACGGTTACACATAAATTTGAAATGTAATATACGTAGAATAACATTAATTAAAATGCATGGTAAATTTTGAAATGAGAATAATAGTATTGATTATACGGATATCCGAAACTTTGGGCCGGTTTGAACTCTAATTAATGCCAAAAGAGTACATGGCTTACAAAAATCTCAAATATCCGACCCGTGAGTGGTATCCGTGGGGAATTCCGCAGAGGAAAAAAAAAGGAGGTATCGTCCTTTGTTTTTCAAATTTTCGTTTTCAGTTGTATTATTTTTCTACATTTATATTTAATCAGTTCCGTAATTTTCTTTAAATTTATAAGTAGAAAAATAAAATGAAATTGTAGAGGAAACTTACAATTCTGGCGGCCTCGGGAGGTGGTGGATCGCATTGCATAATGGGGGGCATGTGATCGTCCACTGTCGTTGTAGTAACCGGCGCTTTGTTATCTCTCTGTGCCTTCTTCTCTTTTCGCTTCATAGCACACTGATTTTCTGGTACTACACATTCGGGCCTCATACCCACTGCTAAACATTTTTTTAACCGGCACTCTTGACATTTTCTTCGCATATACATGTCCATTTCACAAGCGTGGCCAAACTTGCAAATATACACTGCATTTTTGGTTACACTTCGCCTAAAGAAACCTGGAATATCATAAATTTTTTCTATTATATTTATTTTAATCTATGAACAATCTGAAACAATGAACATTTATGAAACCAGTTTTTAACGATAAGATAATGGAACCATGAACGTAAAGGTCGCCTGAAAGACGCAGGTCATTGACAGCTGTACGACTGCCGATTTTTATTACAAAACAAACAAGACAGATAGAAAGAGTATATGACTCGAATTGAACGTAATTGGTATGGACAAGGTACGAGACTGTATAATATGTGTAGATTACAGTCCCGCCACTGTAGGTTTATTCAGCAGTTGGAATTAAATAGGCATGTTTATTCTCGGGTCGACAGTGAAGGTTGGCCAAGATGTCCGATAGGCGTAGGTGAAACTTGAAGTAGACGTCCTGTAGACGGCCATTGTGACGACTAACTGTCTGTTAAACACATGCACGCGTTGCTCATAACAACCTCGATACAATGCGCCAGTTTAAAGCTGAATTGGCACATTCGTAGACGACACGTAAGGGCATAGTATGTATGACATATCTAGGTAACCGATTATTTGACCTACTTCTAGTAAATGCTTGTTGCCGAATTACGGTCAAATGTACCGTCACATTATTACCTAGTTTTAACTTTTGGTGGCTAAACTATTCCCCGAGCCCTTTCTCACTGTATCACGGAAGATTTATATCTGCCATACCTTTACATCCTTCGCAAGTTAGTGCATTGTAGTGATATCCGGAGGCTCTATCACCGCATACGAGACAGAGTTCCTCTTGTTGCCGCGGTGCAGGCCCTTTCTTCTGCCGTCTCGCCTCGCCATCTGTACTGCAGCCGTTGACGCTTGAAGCCGGTGATAACTCCTCGCGACCTGGAACAATGTGAATCCATAGTTAAGTCACTGCTGTAAAATGCAACTGCGTAGTATGCGAGGCGAACCGGTGGCCATGCGGGGTTGAGTCGATAACATCTAAAATCGGACGCTATAAAATTTGCATACATTTCATGAACCATTTGTCGAGTCGACGAGCGAATGAAGCTCATTTTATTTCGTTTTACATTCGGGGCCTTCGACGAAGAAATGTTTTGGTATAGAAATACTCGTCAGTAATTTTCGGTGGTAGCGTGGACATTTCCTGCCCAAACAAAGGTGGATAGAACACTGTTCGCATACTGATCAGGTTCACTGCTTGATTTTGGTATTCGAAACGCTTAGGGATTGGGGTACGCGTTGCGCGCTGAAACTTTATAAGCGGCAATTGTCAATCACACAGTCGGAACTCCATAAAAAGTAACGAAGAATATTAATAATATTCCATTCGAATTACAGGTTATAAATATGAAAAATAGAGCTCTTTGAAATAGAACTAAGTTAAATAAATTCCCTATTTCTGAAAATGTGTTTGAATGTAACGTTATTGCCCCATGTCATGCGATTTTTTTATATATTTAGGTAGGCTGATTTAATGCCTTGTCTGAACAACTAAGTTGCTGTGAAAAACGTAAATTACATGCTTTTCATATGGTCGGATGAACAAATGACAATGATTAAGTCGCTCCAGTGCGCCGCTGGCATATTAACCAAACGGTCTGAGTTGTTGGTTCCATTTAAACATTTCTACTCATTAATTTATTTACATTTCATGGTGTGTATTAAACGCGAACTTGGGTCGGTGGCCGAGCGTGTACCTGGGTTACGCAACCGGCCGAAATAGCCGCTGCCAAAAAACTAGTTCCACGTGGGAGCCGAGCCAAACGTCAACATTTTGCCGCTGCGAAACTTTGCAAATATTTGTGAAAGAAATGTATTAAAATTATTTTTATATGTAAAATATATCTGGAGCACATCGCAAAAGATATCTACATAAAATTGTAAACGTGAAATGTAGTCAACGCGTGTCCATTTCTCTACGAGTATTACATTTTTTTCACATTGATTACTGAAACTGAGTATCGTGCAAGCCGTTTGTAATAATTCACTTGATAAAAGTGTCTTTATAAAGAGGTCAAGTGCGTTGTTTTATCGCAGAAGTTATTTACATCGAAATGAACGCCACCTATTTAAAATGTCTTATTTACAACTCGTTATAGTTTTCTATAGAATGTCTGCAATATTTTATATTTGTAATAGGTCCTTAGTTATTAGCGCGGATGTTTTTAGTTTCATTTTGATAACAGTACAGCCAATTCATGTTCAATGTTTGTTATTCAGATAAATATTTGCATGTCAATGCAATAAAAACCACTAACAGCATTTTTAACGTTGACGTTGCCCCCTTGCCTCGGTGTGTGAATGTTACAGATTAATTGTATTTTAGTGAATTGATTTAATTTATAATCTTTATGTTATATAACGTTCTTATTTCTTCTATTGATCACTTATCCGTGCTGTGTATGTATAAACCAGTATTATTTCTACAATGATATGTAGGCAATATAAAACTCTTATTTAAAATACTTGACTGAATGACCGTTCAGAGTAGTTGCACAAGATCTTAGCACAACTATACAGGTGGTATTTGATCAAGAATTGTCGGCCGCATTCAATAGACTAATAGAGGGAAATCACAATAAGCTGACGCAACACCTAAAATATGTGTGTCAAAATGCTGGTATCATACTAAATCCAAGGAATTTATTGAATAAAAATAATAATGGTCGCTTCATAATTAATACAATTATTTTAATTTACTAGATGTGACGACATTTAAATTTCGTTTTTGTCGGTACTGTCAAATCAATGCCCGTGAAAAAGAAAGCTAATCAAAAGTTGAATGCACGGATGACCGAGTCAGTGTGTTATGTTATTACGTCTCAGCTGTTCAATGTGTTGCGCTCGCGCATTAAAAGGTCTAGTTCGTGGCGATTCGGCCCGCGTTCGGGCGCTCGAGTGAGAGGCTCTTAAAGAGCGACAAGTGGAGCGCGAGCGTCGACCGGGGGCAGCGTGCGGCCTTGACTCTTGTGTCCCCTCTTCCCCACTTCCTCGCCACGCTCGACGCGCAGCCACATTATTTATGATAGCATCAGAGCTCGAAGCAAGCTTACGATTCTCTTCAACTAATAATAACTCGTTTTTCCTCTCACGCCATTTCATTTTTTTTTATGAAGTGTATGTAACAGGCTTTAGTATGTATGTAGTTAGCAGTAGGTTGGTCATGGCTTATATTTAAAACATTTTCTTTTTAACTTTTTATAATAAGTACTTTACGTATTGACTAAAAAAGACACCTAAATCAATGCTTGCTGAGAGGAAGATAAAATAATTAAACAATACGCAACTTTCACTGACCTCAGCAACAACAACGCAATAATTTTGCAGGCGAGGCGCGTAAGCAACTAGTGAAAGTTGCCCAAAAGTATGTGTTGCACAAGCCTACCAACACGTAATTGAAATTCGGGTACGGCGAAAGTAAGCTGTTCTATGTTACGTTGTGACATCATATTTAGGGCTCAATTGGCATTCACCAAATGCACAAGTAGTGTAAGTGAATTTAAATGGTGCCGAGTAACACCTAAATGGATTCACATCGTTTGTAACACATATGTGGCAAAATTTCTGTGATCTGTAAGGCCGTATAAGGTTTTTCTGAAAAACACGTTATAAGAGAAGAATCAAGCTGCATTCCAACAATTAAAGTCAGCACGCGTCTTTCTGATATAAGCGGCCACTCGGGCGATGAAAAAACTGAAGCAGAAAAAGTCGTATACACGTGATCGATGGATCGAAGACAGACTCACGATGTTACTTTCTACAATACTTTCTAGCAAGAGATGTGGGCCGGAGCCGGCGCAACTAGAGCGATCGGTTTCTCCGCGCGCCGGGAAAAACGGATTGAAATAGAAATCGCATCGCGGTGAAAATCGCCATTTTCACGTCACTACACACGCTAGTGTGGAGACTTGGCATTCATATTAATTTAAATTAGATCAGCATCGATGTTTTTCTGTTCTTTTATATAATAATTTTATGAGCTTTCCAAGACTATTGATACCGATTTTTTTAAATTAGTTCTATTAAGTAAGTTCCCGGCGATTGAGGCGATAAAGTGCTATATTTGAATGGAATCAGGAAATGTGTGCCTGGTGGGCTGGGAGCAATCTTCAGCGAGTAGGGCGGACGCTGCGACTGAGCGGACGCACGTGGAAGTGTTTACATCCGTCGACTGCTCGCTGCACACCATCCGCCCATCCGGTAGAGATCAGTTATGTTTTCAAAAATTCCTGTCTCGAATTTAGCTCATATTTCTTGTCCCATATATTACAAATAGATGTCAATTTTGGCTAAAAAATTTAAAATGTGCGTTAATTTTTTCTTATTGTTTCTGTAGATATAAACAGTAACTTATTTAAGTTTAGGGTAAGGAATTAACGAAGAATTCACGATTCAAGAAGTTGCTTATCTATTCACCTAGGTTGTCACAAAGATATGTTGTTAAATGACCATTAAACATTGTCAGTAGTGTCCAAGAGATGCCTTAAAAGTTTCGTCATCGCCCAAATCGTAAATTAGAAAGTAGTGGCCCGTTATCATGTACACGGGCAAGGTGAACGTAATGGATATGCCACAACTCTCCAGTAGATTGTTCCATTTATTGACAGAATGTTGGTTTATGTCGGACTCTCTCGTTTCCCCCTGCCGTGGTAAATAGATAAACCCATTTTTTTGTCCCTGTCTGCTCCCCAATTTAGTTGGCGCGCACCCACGCTCTGGCGCGCCTTTTTGAGTAAACATGGGAATGGGTAAATAGAAAAGGGAGGGAGATATAATTAGAATAAATTCTGTGTGTTTTTTGAGCTGTAAAGCGCTTTTAAAATGTTAGTTTGTTTAATTTAACGTTCTATATTTAGGTATAAAGTCCTGAATAACGAGTTCCCAGAATTAAGAAGAATAGTTTATAGATATATTATGATGTGAGTTAAAGTATGAATTTCCATGTAGACAATTGGAAGTTTTCCGTCAAATAAATATGTACAAACAATCTGTGAAAGTTTTTACTAGTTGTTGTGATCTATGTTAAATGTTGTTCTAGTGATGCATTTTGGTCATCGGGCAACAAACCGTTACGACTGCGCTGTACAATCAGTGCCCTTGCCCTGCTCCGGCGCTGATGACCTCGTGACCATAACGCGCAGGCGTTGACACCATCTAACACAGATATACCTATCCAAGATCACCTACTAATCATAACTTTTTTACTCGAAATTTGCTCAGTTTAATAACCATTTACCTGATAATTGCGAATAAATTAATTTAACAATAAATAGCAGGTATGTTTTACCTTTAATGAGGCATATTAACAGAGAACTAGGCCAAGGTACGATAAACTTCACGACGTGAAATTCATAATGGTAATTTTAAAGTTCGCCTAAGACCTAATTAACAGGATTTAGCCAACCCAACCAGGTCAACGACTGTTTGTTCTTGACGTTGATAACTTATCTATTACTATATTACACACTGCACATATTTTTTATTTATTTATTAATATGAAGTTCACCAAACACCATATACATAATAAGAGTATATTGTAGCAATTACTTAAACGTAAACACCACTTGCTTATATTACGTCAATTAAAGAACTCCAAATATTGTATGAAAATCAGAACACAATCCAGTCTATCGTCCCGTGTAATGTCAAACAAAAATCCTCTAACAATCTAATTTATACATTTAGTACAAGTTGCGTTAACAATATTATAACTGGGTCATTAACATTTTATTTCTGAGTAACTTTGCAAACATAAACGAGGAAAATAAAGTGACGGATTCACAAACTGGGTCGAGCGGCGCACCTCCACTGATCGAGTATTGAGGCTGAAATAACAAAATGTTTGTCCCAGTTAAGTAATCAATGATATCATATTCACG